CCTGCCTCCTTCCCTCAGCAAAGACACTAACGTACTAGACGGACCAGCAATTCTTAGGTGTGTACTCAACAGAGAGCAGACTTCTGATCACAAGAATGCTGGTGGCGGTGTTAGTTGTGGGGGTCCTAAACTGTAAAGTACCCAAACGCCCGTCAAGGGAAGCACAGATGATGAATTGTAGCGTGGTCTCACCATCGGAAAGTATACAGCGTTGGAAAGGATCAAACAATATATGCGGGTACGTGGCGGAAGTCTCACAAGCACGATGAGGGAAAGATACCAGATATGAACTAGCACACACCGTATGGTTCCACTGACACAAAGCTTTAAAAACACAAAAGTCCTCGTTGGTGTTAGAAGCCAGGATACAGGGGCCTGTTGAATGGGACATGAGGGAACCTTCTGGGTCCTGGGAATGTTCTGGAAAGTTCTCTGACCTGGACACTGATGGGCGACGCTCTTTTCTGGATGTATCTGACATGTTGATAAGAAGTGGACTTTAAAAACCTTCCTAGAAGTCTTCCTCAAGCTGAGAGCCCACTTTGTGGTTAAAACATACTTTGCTTACTTAACCTGTGAGGAAAGAAAATCGGTACTTCTACTTGGCAGTGATTTATCTTGGAGAAAGATCCAATAGCTACAAAAATATGAATCTGTGTGTTCTAACACCTAAAACAGTGTGGTAATTGGGGTTTTTGTGCCAACACGGCACCGTGACTACACTCATTACTCATTCTTCTGGCAGTAGGGGTGGAGTTTGCCCTGTCAATCAGGCCACAGCTGGATGACCTCGTTTGGAGGTGCCACCAAGATAAATGGCTCTCTGGAGGGGGGCCCCTCTGCCTTCCTGTTGACGAGCCACACTGAGACCTGCCAGAGCATCGGAGACGCGTCCACCACCACTGGATCCACAAGACTGTGCACCGACCGGCTGGTCCCTGCATTTGGCATCACTGCTTGTGACTGCGTGAGTCTGAGGAGGGGCATAGGGACTAACATCGGACTTACAGACTTGAGTTGGACTGGGCTGGGATGTTTTCCCGATAAACAATTTCTTCTTGATGTGAAGCTCCTTTTCACCCCTCTAGGAGTATCTCTGGATTTGTTTCTCTAGTCGACCTGACCTAATACAAATAGAAGCCAAGCTAGGGGCCCAGAGAGATTAATCAAGTTCTCTGTGGCCCACCTGTCCAAGGAAAGGTAGTACGCTACTCTTTAGAAGCTACAGTCGTGTATCTGACGTGAGAATATGTGCACCACGTGACTTTGTATAAAAACAGTGTGTGAAAAAAACATCATATACTCCAGGTTAGGGGGGGAATATAAACATATGCAAAGTAATTCTTTAAATACCTGGGATGGTTTTCCCCAAAGTTACAGTAATGATTATCCATCAAGATCACAATGAAGGGTTTTGCTTGTTTGGCTTTGATTCGCCTCCATTTTGCTATTTTCTCTAACACGCAACATGCTTTTAATGGTGGAATATTTCTCAAATCCTGGAGTCGATAGCCCAGGAGTCCACATTCAAACTTAATCCCCTCTGTGGCCTGATCAAGGCACATCCAAGATTTGAACTCTGTCTGCCTGGCAGAGAATGTGTGCAGTTTATGTTGTGCTTGTTTTTCAGGACACTCGACACGGCCTCCCTCAGGTGAGCTAGGTAGGTGTCCAAGAGCAC